AAAACACAACTCCAGGTCTGTTTTTGGTGAGGTAACAGTATTAGTCAATGTAAACATCTGAATAAGAGATAGAGACATTTCTTGTACTTTGTGTTGTCCGCAGTGAGTCCCGGCGCTGTAATAAAGGGCCGTGCTGAGGTCGATTTGCGTGGGGAGTCTGGGGCGATGCACGACCCGGCCTCACAAACGTAGTCCCGCTCCACAAACACTCCACACTGATTGGAAGTGAGGTGGCTCTATTTGTTTCGGATGGAGGCGTAGGAAAATTGTGTTCCAGTAAAAAAAAAAATTAAGTTCATCCAAAACAGTTTTAATGCCTCATCACACCAGGGATTTGAAGGTTGACTAAAGTTTAAGAAATTGATGCTTTTACTATCTGGAAAAAACTTCACTATATCATATTTTTGTAACTTAAAGGTTCTACATTACACCAAATGGACTCTTGTGAGCTTTAAGTCATGTTATAATGTTGTTACCTCCTCAAAAACAGACCTGGAGTTGTGTTTTGTGTCTACATCTGCAAAGCTCAAAATGCTCTGTTCCACCTTGTGATGTCATGAAGCAGAAATTTTCAATTTAACAACTACCCTTTAGTTTTAGGTAATTCCTAGCCTGATTCATCAGCTGGTTTCACTTCGTAGAAACCGTCTGACCTCACAGTGTTAGAATTCTTTTGCTTGACGGTAGGCGGGTACTTTTTATCATTTAACCAGTCGCTGCTATAATGCTGTAATGTGCTGGTATATTAAGCTTTTCCCAAATCTCGTAGGAAGAAGGACAATAACGTCTTTCCCCTTGATAAAATTCACTAAACACTCTCTTTGTTCCGGCTTTAAATCTTGGGAATCATTGACGATGACCTTTCGCTGATTGGCTGGTGCCCGAACTTGCACTTCCGGGGTTTTTACAAACCGTCTAGTGTATTCCGATTCCTGACCTAGTCACTGGAGAGAAATAAAATTGAATGGAGACACTGGGTGGCACCAGCCTGGCTCGGTAATTCCAGGGTTCACTGTAAACCTGAACGTTCAAAGTAATTAAATTGATTAAGTTGTGTACAAGCAAAATTTTAGAAAAAGTCCTACTGACTTAATTATGTCAAGTTCGGGTTTGGGTTCTTCTTTTTGAGTAATTCTAACTAATATTTTTTGATTAAAGGGAACTATTGTGGGTATACAACAGTATATTGTGAGGTGCAACTTAGTAGAATTAAGTAGTTAAAAATAATATGTAATATGTGTATCATGTACTATGTGAATACTATAACGTGTCATATATGTAAGTATGTATGTATTATTAAACTATATACATATTATATTATATTGATTGGACTAGTAAATCGCTTGACTTACACACGGGGGACCTGGGTTCAAATCCCCCTCCTACGATGTGTATAATGTGTGTATACTATGATGCATTTATATGTACATTATAATATGTGTCGATATAACTGGATTTCATTTCATTTCTCTCCAGTGACTGGTCAGGAGTCAGAATACAATAGACGGTTTGCAAGAACCCTGTAAGTGCGAGATCGGGCACCAGCCAATCAGAGAAGAGCCATATGTTCAGTGTTGTCAACGATTCCCAAGATCGAGGATTTAAAGCCCGAATAAAGAGAATGTTCGGAGAATTTCATCAAGGGGAAAGACGTTATTGTACTTCTTCCTACGGGATTTGGGAAAAGCTTAATATTCCAGTTAGCCCCGATAGCTGTGTGTTACATACATCACAACCAAATAGCAACGATTAGTTAAATTATAAAAAATACCCGCCTGCCATCGAGCGAACAATATCTAGCTGCAAGGTAAGACAGTTTGTATGAAGTGAAACGAAATTAAACCGGCTGATGAATCAGGCTATGGATGTAGTGGATTGTGTGTACAACATGTGTACAAAAATCATGGATTACATAGAAAACTAAAAATTATTCCAGTGGTTTGAACATTCTAACTGCAAATGTTTGTTTTAATTCAGCTGTTATCAAAAGGTGCAAGTAGCAAACCACACAACCTTTTAAATTCTGGAAAATTGTGACTTTTAAGTTAATCAGTTTAAAATAATTGAGGCAATTGATTATCTAAGATTTTTTTATAGTTCAGTAACTTATTTGGTTTACAGAGTTGAAATGATTCTCGTGAACGGGTGTGGAGTTTAAAAACACAGTGGAGCACTTCCTCTACTACCACATGACATCATTCATTCATTCATTCATTTATTTCTTTGTTTCAACCAGGTACAACAAAATTCAAAAAGAATAACAAAAATAGTGATATGTACATGACATATTTGGGACCTGGTGCTCAAAAGGAATAGCATGAAGTTTAAAAAACTTATGGAGTCTTACCCCAAATGTTTTACATAATCACGTGGTTCCCTTTTTTAAAAATTTGTTTTATTTATATATAATATTTATTTTAATCACCTTTGGAGTGCTTATCTGTCATTTGCAAAAATATATATATATATATACCCACATATATACAAAAACATATCCACATATACTTACATACATATGCAAGTACACACACTTGTACACACATATGTACATACAAACATACATATACACATCACAAGGTGGAATAGAGCGTTTCTGTTTGAGAACTCAGCCTAAATACGTAATATTTGTGAGTTAAACATGTGTGAGTGAAACAAAACACAACTCCATGTTGTTTGTGATGAGGAAACAACATTAGAACATAAAACATTGACCTTGTGATAGAGGAACATTATAATCAACTCCAAATGTTGTAATGGGCAATAATACAGATTTGAATCAAATGAGATACAATATTTGAAATGGTCAGTGATCAGCTTGTGTGTTTTTATGGAGACGTCTACAGCCAGGCCTGTGTCAGTAAAACACTGGTTTGGAGCAGATGGAAGGACTTTGGAGGAAGAAACGTGACTATTTATTGGATTAAATGGCACAGATTAAAGTCTGTTTTGTTTGTACTCTCAAAATGAATGCTGAATTAATATTTTGATGCGTTTAATTAGAAAAATGAAATGTATGTAACAAAATGCAAACAAACAAACAAAGAGGAAAACTCAGATGTGAAATTTTCAGTCCTTTAGGGTTGTGTTTGGCATGAAAAATATCACAGTAATTAGTTTTTGACCATATTGTCTAGTCCTAATAATTCTAGAAGGCCTATTTAGCATTGTCTGACTCCTGTTCTATGTGTGAGCGGGTTCACTTCTCCACAGACCTGACTGGTAACCTGGCTTGGTGGCGTGATAGATTATATTCATGTCATACTGCTGAACATCCCATGTACAACAGCAATAATAACATCACCATGGAGACGAGCAAGTGACGGCCCATCCACTAGAAAAGTTACGTAACATTCCTGTGTACTTTCATCAGTTCTGTGCTCCAAATCGTCTGCTTTCTTCATGTTTATAGAACCACGAGGACACATTCAGATCTACATCAGCGCCAAAAGACGTAAAGGGTAAAGGGGGGATGTGAGGTGAGCTCTTCACTCTAGTTTGAATGTTCCACACAGGAGCTTTAACATATGGTGCAAAGATTGTAGAAGTATTGGGAAATGTTAATGGTTTCTTTAGAGAGAGGCTTAAGCAGCAATAAAACAGACAAACTGTGCGCTATTTACACAAGCAGATTTCTCTGGATGCTCTGTGTAAGATCTGAATGATGCATAGATTATATTTTTAATGAGGATATTAGAACTTTGGCTCCCCTCACAATATCTATGGGAAAGTACGACTAAATTTTTTTTAACCAATTAAATTCAATTACATTTTGTTTAATTTGTAACATTTTCTGTTCTTTGTAATTAATTAATTCATGTATAAAAATAAATTACTAATTAGTTAATTGATCACTGCATTTATATATTGCTTTTCAATACACCCAAAACGCTTTACAGATCATTATTCATTCACTCAACACTCAGTGGTGGTAAACTACTATTGAAGCCACAGCTGCCCTGGGACACATTCTGCGCCATTGGCCCCTCTGGCCACCATCACTCACACACACACACCACTTTCATACTTGGCAATGTGGGTGAAGTGTCTTGCCTAAGGACACAACGACAGTTTTTTTGCCACTGGCGTCTCCCTGTGGCTCCTGATTTTCCCAGTGTCTCCCATCCAAGTCCTGACCAGGCTCAGTCCTGCTGAGCTTCTGAGACCTGATGAGATCAGGCTTTGACAAGTCGGTATGACCAATGAATGAATGAATGAATTTGTAACATTTTCTGTTCCTTGTAATTAATTCATTATGTATGTATGTATTCATAATGTCTAAAAATAAATAAGTCAGTTCTTCAGTTCTCCAAACCTCCTTGTCAGAGCCTGATCTGGTCAGACCTCTGAAGCTCAGCAGGACCGGGTCTGGTCAGCACTTGGATGGGAGACCTTTGGGAATTCCAGGTGCAACGGCAAAACTGATGTGTCCTTAGGCAAGACACTTCACCCACATTGCCTAGCGTGAAAGCGTCGTGTGTGTAAGAGTGTTGGTGGTGGTCAGAGGAGCCGAATAACGCAGATTGTCAGCCTCGCTTCTGCCCCAGGGAAGTTGTACCTACAATAGTATCTTACCACCACTGAGTTTGAAGTACATGAATAATACAACAAACTGTAACATGACTTTGAGCCTCTAGAAAAAGCGCTATATACGATTAATGCATTGTTATTATTATTATTACATGCATATTTCTATATATTAATGGATTATATATTATTATTATTATTGAATGTGTATTGTTGATATATTTATTTTTAAGGTTCAGGTTGAGGTACACTTTATTGTCCCTGTATTGACACAATGCTTCCATGGTCCAAAACAATGCAAAGGCCCAAAGAAAGACCCAAATGCCCCAAGAATCAAACCAAAACCTTCTTGCTGTGAAGCGAGAGAGCTAGGACTGTGTAAATAAAATAAAATACATAAATATAATGGTATCTACTCGCTCATATTCATTTCTAGACACAACATCACAGTACTGTACATGCACGTGGTCACTTACACCGACCTTTCCTCCGTCGGCGTTGTACTCCTTCTCGTCGGCGTCCAGTAATCTGGCCAGGCCGAAGTCCGTGATCTTGATGTGATTGGGCGATTTCACCAGAACGTTCCTCGCTGCCAGATCTCTGTGCACCAGCCTCCTCTCCTCCAGGTACATCATGCCCTGCAAAAAAGAACCGCACGGATCCTTCATTATCGTAATACATTCAGGCAATTATACGCGAAGGGAGAAGTGTCAGAGCCGGCATTAAAACCCGTGTCAAAACTGTCATGGCGGTCGACATTTAAATGCAATCTTTCAGGGTAGGAGGGAGAGACAAAGGAGCTCTCGAGGCGTCAGGCGGTGGGACTTTTGATGAGATGAAAATACAGAAGAGGTCTTGATTCGCTGGCTCGGCGCTGAGAGAATGCGATGTGGGTTTACATGGCTGCCAGGCAATAGCGTGTGTGTGTGTGTGTGTGTGTGTGTGTGTACAGAGACAGAAATGTATTGTATTGTAATAAAGGAGCAGATGTGGAGGTCCCAGAGAGTCAGAATCTTTATGAACTTTTGTATTGTTGTTTTAGTGTTACTTTAGTTAACATTATGGTTGAGGAACACTTTATTGTCCTCGTACGAAAACGTGACCTCTGCATTCGACCCAACCTTCAGTGTTTCCGGGTTTAATCATGTCAGGAGCAGTGGGACCCATCTCCAGATCTCCAGATCCAGGTCTAGTCTTGCTGGAGGATCTGACTTATATGCGAAACACTCAGCCGCCGCATCGTCCATTTGTGAACTAGACTTGCGTTACGTCTCGATTTCTATCTGCCACCTGTCTCTACGGAAATGTAATGGTTTGGCCTGTATGTTCCGTGCATTAAAATGATCAATGTCCACTGAGGCAAGCAGGTGGTGCCAGTAATAACAACAATAATACATCAGATTTAGCGCTTTTTCGGATACTCGAAGACGCTTCACACTGTATTATTCATTCACTCCACACTAGAGATCAGCGCGGGACAGAATTTTCAGTCTCACTCCCGCCCGCACAGCAAAGAATTGTAATTTTCAGTCCCGCTCCCACCCGCATCTGCGATATTTTGTTCGCAAAGCCCACAAGATGGGGTCGTTGGCTTTCTTAAGCTCTATCAAACACGAAAAAACTGAAAGGAATTGTCGAAAATGTCCGCAAGATTAGACCACATCCGGAAGTTTAGGCTGCTTTAAAATGTTGTATGATAGACAGACATGAATCATTTGTATATTTTACTTTACACTCATATTTAGTTTGCTTCTGCTCCCGCCCGCAATGAGCTTTCAATAGTGTCCTGCGCCGGGGCTGCGTGCAGGGCTCTAGTCCACACTTGGTGATGGTAAGATAGTCTTGGAGTCACAGCGGCTCCTCTGACCATCACGCGCACACATTCATACTAAACAATGTGGGTGAAGTGTCATGCATAAGGACACAGCAACAGTTATTTTTGCAACTGGTGCTACTCCACTATGGCACCTGATATTCCCAGTGGTCACCCATCCGAGTACTAACCAGGCCCGGGTCTGGTCTCGGTCTCCTCTGAGCTCTTCCGAGTTCCGAGTGGAAAAGGGGCGTGTCAGTGTGTGTCGCTAGGCAACATCCACAGACCTCCAAGTCAGATAGACAAACGGACACACCGTTTCACTACTACCCTTTTCATTTTCAAATTTTCAAATAGTCCAGAGCAGGGGTCTCCAACCTGTAGCTCAGGAGCTACTAATACGTCTCCACCCCCTTCCAAGTAACTCGCCAAGGGATTTCTGAATTACAAGTACTGTCCTGAATAACTCACATTTGATTAATTAAATACCTATTATTATTGTAAATCTATCATTCATAAATAAATAATGGTTTGTGTTTTATCCAAATGTACCCCATCTAAGTCTTGCCGTGGCTCTTATGTAAACTTTACTTCCTGTGACAGCTAAAATTTCCACATTTGGATAGAATGAACAATATTATTAGGGTTGTCCCAATCTGATGCGGACTCGATTTGGACTCGGTCCAATGGTCCAATCAGGTATCGGATAAATAATATACGTATATAACACACAGGACACAACAGTTGATGTGTTTTTGTACTGAGGATGTTGCGGTGTGCACTCTGCTGTGGGTTTGTGGATGTGGTGGTGGTGTGGGGGAGAGAGGCTGTGGGGCTTCTGTCATCTCCTTTTTATTTGGTAAGAACTTTTTATTATTTTTTGGATTATTATTTGAATTTCATAGACGAGCCTAAATATACAAAGTGTAGATTGTGCAGAGTCGAGTCTCTGGTCTGATCTGGTTCTGGTCTGGTTCCTGTTTTGTCCAGTTCATTAAGTTTACTAAGTTACACATTCCAAGACCAGACTGTGAAAAGTCAAGATTTTCAATAATGATGGTTCATGGTTAGAAAAGTTAATCAAATTAAAGTTTTGGACATTTGATTTTTCACAGTAAGTTCAGACCAAATACTACACATGAAATCAACACAATGTGATCCCCCCACACATCCTGGATCTTATTCTTTGCTCTTTGTTCATTTCATAATGTTTTATAGAAGTATCAGATTGGGACTCGGTATCGGCAGATACTCAAAATCAAATGACTCGGGGCAAAAATATGTGATCGGGACATCCCTAAACTTTACCAACCCATTTAGACAATTATTTTGACTGATTATAGTTTTTCAAGACAGCATCAGGAGAAGTTGGGTCCGATCAAGTGGTAACGGAGGGAAACAGGGGCAGATTTTTGACATTCAAATGTCTCTTATTCAGAAACTAGAGGAACTATTGAAATAAGTAAAGTATCAGAATGTAGGAAAGAGTTACACTCCAACAGGGTCAAGTTAAACCTGTGATATTTCTTTCAAGTTGTTGACAAAAAAAAAAAAAAAACTCATGTCGGTAACGGAGGGAATGAAATATGCAGCACTTTTTGGTCAATAAATCCAAACAGTGATAACTCTTGGTTCTCACTTCCATATCCTTAACAAACTGGTTTGAATATTTGCTTCATATAGTTTTCTACCATATGGTACAAGATTAGGTTGAAAAACCTCTTACTTTTTGACTAATGAGATTTTTTATTAAGAAAGGTCATGGTAACGGAGGGAAAAGTAACGGAGGGAAAATTGTTCAAGCAAGTAGAAGGTGCAGGATTTTACATCATTTGTCGCTTTTTTCTTCTGAATACTTTAATATTACTTCAAAATGAAAAGGAAACTATTTCTATAAAATATGTCAGTCCTTCCAAGCAAATTTTTAAATACATTTAAAAAAAAAAATCATGTACCTTCATCAACAGTTCAAAGATGGAATAACACAAGATATGATGAAATACATCCATTTATTTACATGATTTGCAGGTCTTTGAAATTTGGGAAATAATTTTTGTTCCATGTTTCATACATGGTCTGTTTAAAACGAATGGAACTTTAGAACCAAAAATGGTACAGAAAAAAGGTCAACAGTTTCATAAACTAGAGTACATATGTATCTGTTCAATACATTTTTATATTAGATGCATTAACTTGAATTTTTGGTCCTGCTGTTCACTTCTGCTTGACTGGGCCCAATTGTCTGACGTCTTTGTGCGCTTTCAGAACTTCAGGTATAAGCTCCAGAAATCAACAACCACAGACTTGGAAATAAGGTCCACCTCATTAAAAAGCCAATCTCTAGGTACAACACTTTTAATGTGCAATAATTTAGACCACTCTAGACACCACATTATTTCAAACGAATGATCTGTTCAGCGTTTTTAGCTTATGTCCACTGTATGCACTTTCTTCGTGGAAACCTTGCAAACAGCAGCCAATCAAAAACACGCCTAGTTAACTTCCTCATCAATCTTCTTCTAAAATTAAACATGACACACACCTCGGACCTTGAGCACCGCGCGCTACCTTCTGCTACTCTGCATTTTCTAACGATTAAGCTAATTGGCGCAATAACATTAGCATGAACGCTAACTCGGCAAAAACGTCGATGGCGCAGGCTGGCCCGGCGCGTGTCAAACGAAATTAAAACGTCACTCAAATTTCTCAAGGCGTCGGGGGGAAAAAAATGCTAATAATACCGAAACGTATAAAAAATTCAAGTGCGGATATTTGAATTCCAAGGTTGCGCTAGCCCCCGGGGACGCGAGCTAGCAGGCTACGTCCGCGCAATCTTGTTCTGTCATGAGCGATATCATGTCCGACGTAATTGGGGCCATTTTGGAGACGGCGACGGCGGCGACAATGGGCCGCTGTCCAATTTGTTAGCGGCGATTACGTACACCTGATGAGACAACAAAAGCCGCAAGCGGGGTTGAGTGGCATCTCCGTAATTTGTTGCTCAATGGACTGGACGGGGATTTGACACTACACGCGAGCACAAAGGCGACGTTTAGCGAAGACAAGATGAGTTAGCAATTAGCGTCACTGGACAGAATGTAACTGAAATGATGTACAGTCGTGGTTAAAGGGACAATACACAATTTACTAACTTTTGTTTTTTTTTTTTTTTTGATACATTACAGTTTTGTTTCTTTCTCAAACAACATGCCGGGACTTGCGTTTTGTTTCATTTGCACGTTTGAGTGTTTTGAGCCTCTCTCTTCTCAGTTCAGAACACCTTGTGATGTCATTATGTGGTTATACAAGTGAAGTTCATCAATATTTAGAATGTTTTAAATTCGACTGAAAGTACTAGTATATATTTTCAGGCATATACAGTATACTTGTCTGATAACTGAAAATTTGTCCCCTTAGAATTATAAACTTGAATACTTTAATTTATTTTTTGTCTGTTTTTTGATTTTCCTCAATACCGTTTATAACTTTATTTTTAAGTTTAGCTCATTTTTGAGTTAATGCCCCGTTTCCATTTTTGTGTACTCAAATCTTTAAAAGAAAGTATCTTACACCTACTCAGCTGTCTCGCCAAAAACATAAAAAATAAAGAGGTCCGTCACAAGACAAGCTGAGTGAATTGGAATTACATACTGATCATTTTGTTTTAGCGAGCCTCCCACCTCAATCTCCACAAACCTAACACACATTGACATAACTTTAAAGCTGCATTGCGTAACTTTTCTGGTGAAGGATCTGCCACCAGCTTGTGTACATAGTGATTTTATTACTTTACTCAGAGTGTTTCACAGTATGGCTTTAAAATTT